CAAGCTGTTACTGCAGAAGATCATAAGAATAGCTACATCAGGAATGCTTTTATAAAAGGCCTAAGCAACTCCTCTAAACACACTCGATTGCTTGAAAATACTACGCTTAGTCTCAATGAAACTCATTATCAAGCTCAGTCTTTCGAAATGGCTGAAATTCTCTCACAAAGCTTCGTACAAAATTCTATCAATGCAATTTCAATCAATTATACTTCAAATTCTAAGTTACATTATTCGAATCAAATCTTAGCTACTTCTACCAAGAATCTAGCGGAATGTTGGTTTTGTGGAGGATCACGTCATCCTAGATATCTTTGTCCAGCTTCAGATGCTACTTGTCAAAAATGTTCCAAGAAAGGACATTTCGCCAGAGTTTGTAACAGTAAAAAGCATGACTCTAGGACAACGTCAGCTTCCATCGTTACTGCAATTATCAAGACTGCAGCTTCGACACCAGGACTTGGAAAAGCTACAATTGATGCAAAAATTTGTGGACAACCAGTTAAAGCTCTTATTAACACAGGAAGTACATCAAGCTTCATAAACGCTTCTCTTCTTGAGCAACTCAAGATTCCACAAATTCCTGCTCAGCAACGAGTAACGAGTGAATATGGCGTCAATATCATTAGTCTCTCAAGTTGAAGGAAGTTGTACTGTGTCACTAGAAACGAATACCCTTACCTATCCAAACTTGACATTACTGGTTATGAAAAATCTTTGCTCAGATATTATATTGGGACACGATTTTCTACATCATCATTATAAACTTGAGATGTCATTCAATGGAAATCTGGATACTTTGAATGTATACGTTTTGATGCAGGCAGATATTACTCCTGCATCTCTATTCACGAATCTCAATAAGACTTGCAGACCTATAGCTATTAAATCTAAGAAACAATCACTCGAAGACATGAAATTGATCGAACAAGAAGTCCGGATAATGCTTTCTGAAGGTATCATTGAAAAGAGTAATTCGCCTTGGAGAGCTCAAGCTTTAGTCACTTCCAGTACAAATCATAAGAGACGAATGGTAATCAACTATGCCCAGACTATAAACAAATTCACTGAACTAGACGCATATCCACTTACAAACATAGAAGACAATATTTCAAAAGTGTCAAGGTACCAAGTTTCTCGATTTTGATGTGAGAATGTCATTATTCCCGCACGCAAAATCGTTGAAGAATGAAGCTCATTCTTCAACGATTTTTAGTGACATTCGGTTTTCACAGTTCCTATTGGTAACTTCAAAATTGTCAAACCTTCTAAAATGATAGAATCCACCTGTCAGTTGGTTGGTAAGGAAGTGTATTTTGCAAATGAAAAATCCCCAACTAAAAATGCCCACAAAAAAATTTTAAAAAATGAAAAATTAAATCCAAAATCGAGAAAATAGTATAAAACACACGTTGCAGAAGGCTATTCTCGCACTCATTCGTTCGTCCACTCGCTCCTTCGTCGCTCGTGGCCAAATTTCGAATTCGTGCGGGAATATGTGGCCTTCTGCAACTTGTATTTTAATATACTATTTCAGCACTATAGATCTAAAGAGTGCATATCACAAAATTCCAATTCTCGAACATGAAAAACCTTATAAAGCGTTTGAGGCGTGCAGCGAACTATATTAATTCACGGGAATTCCTTTTGGTGTTACCAATGGAGTTGATAGTTTTCGAAGAGTTGTTGACAGTATAATCAAGAAAGAAAATCTTCAAGGCACTATGCCTATCTTGATGATATCACAGTAGGTGGTAAGACTCAAGAAGAGCATCACAAAAATCTTCAAAAATTCTTCAAAGTTGCTGAAAAGTATAAACATACTATAAACTCTACTAAATCAAAGTACAGAATATAAAAATAATTCTCCTAGGATCTGAAATTGAAAATCAACAAATCAAACCTGATCCTGATCGACTTCGTCCATTCTTAGAATTGCCTCCACCAGGAGATTATTCTTCATTAAAGCGAGTATTGGGAAAGTTTTCCCATTATGCGAAATGGATTCCAAGATTTTCGGATAAAATCAGCCCACTCGTACAAACACAATCATTTCCGATGTCACAAAAAGCTTTATCGACTTTCAAAGCTCTGAAAGAAGATATTTCAAAAGCTGTTGTCACTGCCATTGATGAAAATCTCACATTCACAGTAGACACAGACGCATCAGACTATGCCAATGGAAGTTGCTTATCACAAAATGGAGCTCCCATAGCATTTTTCTCAAGGACACTGTCGGAAAGCAAGAAACGTCATTCGTCAGTCGAAAAGGAAGCCTATGCTATAGTTGAATCGCTTCGGAAATGGAGACATTATTTAATCGGACGACCTTTTCGACTAATAACAGATCAACGCTCTGTTTCTTTTATGTTTGATGATATGCATGCAGGAAAAATTAAAAATGATAAAATACAACGATGGCGGTAGGAATTGGCCGTTTACAAATATGACATTGTATATAGACCAGGAAGAGAAAACATAGTGGCTGATGCTTTATCAAGGGTTTGTGCCGTTATAAATACTAAAGAAGAACAACAGAAACTGTTAAATCTGCACTACATAGTCTATGTCATTCAGGTGTTACGAGAATGATTCATTGAATTCGTGGCAAAAATCTACCGTATTCAGTTGAGGATATTAGGAAAATGATTGCCAACTGTTCAGTCTGCTTACAAGTAAAGCCTCGATTTTTCAAAAAATAAAGGAACATTAATAAAAGCAGCAGTTCCATTTGAAAGATTATCCATGGATTTTAAAGGACCATTACCAAGTTCGATAAACAATAAATTTATACTCGCTATAATCGATGAATACTCCCGATTTCCTTTTGCTTTTCCCTGCCCTGATGTTTCAGCAGCTTCAGTTAAGAAGCACTTGACAAGTATTTTTCAACTATTCGGAATGCCAAATTTTATACACTCAGATCGTGGATCTGCTTTCATGTCTTCAGATTTGAAGAACTTCTTGCAAGAGCGAGGAATAGCTACCAGTAGAACTTCCAGTTACAATCCAGAAGGAAATGGGTAAATAGAGAGAACGGTACGATTTGGAGAAGAGTTCGATTAGCGCTGAAATCGCAAAACTTGAATGTGTCCAGATAGAAATCTGCTCTGGATGAATCATTACATGGCATCAGATGTCTCCTCTGCATAGCAACGAATGTCACTCCACATGAAAGAATGTTCCATCATAATAGAAAATCTACTACGGGCGACTCATTGCCATCTTGGCTGACTTCTCCAGGAAAAATTTTGATGAAGAAGCATATTCGCACAAGCAAATATGACCCTTTAGTTGAGGAAGTTGACCTGATAGAATCAAATCCGCATTATTCGTTTGTCAGACTGAAAAATGGTGAAGAAATATCTGTTTCAAACAAGCATTTATCACCGAATAGTCGAGAACAAGTATCGGATGGAAATGAGGAAAACATTCATACTCAGTTAAATATACCTAAACCAGTCCTGTCAATAGCAGATTATCTTCAATCAAATCAAAATGAAATAGAATTGAATCAGCCGCTACTGACTCGCTCATGTAGAAACTCCGAGAGCTAGCAACTCTCAAGCTTTTCCTTCAACAGCCTACAATATAGGGACACGTCCGAAGAGAGATCGTCGATTACCGCCCTACCTGAAAGACTACATTAATTAAAAGAAGAAGGGAAGAATGGTGTGAAAATGATTTGTATTCAACAGTATAGATATCATTGTTACCAGTTGTTTAATTTTGTCATTTGATATGTTATTATCATCTATGATTGTCATTGCCAAATCAGTTTGTTATGTCAAGTTCTTTGTCTAATAAAGCCAATATTTTGGTATAATTTGGAAGTTCTATTCATTACACAATATTTTTAATTATAGTTTTTCATCAACGTTAAAAACTTTCCCTAACTTTGATTCTAATACTGTAGATATTATATCCGTTGTCTTCTTAGTTTTAGCTAATAACATTTCAATCAGGTTTATCATTGTAGTTCAAATAATAGTATATTGTTGTATTAGGAGTAGAAGCTTTACTTTTTTGTGCTGAAGCAGTAGGTTTGCGAGCCGAACGTAGTGAGGCTTGCAATACTGCTGAAGCACAAAAAAGTGCTTCTACTCCGTATGCAACACGCTATTTTTTCTCCAAACGAATGGGGTAAGCTCGGGGCTAGATGAATGGTTAAGCGGCAGTAAAAGTACGAGCGGCACTAAAAGTACTTTTGCTGCCGCTCCAGCGGCACTAAAAGTACTTCTACTGCCGCTGCGGTTGCCTAGCAGCATGGAAATTAAATTTCTACCACCTCGACAGGTGTTAACCCGTTGGATTTGCCTACCAGCATAGAAATTAAATTTCTAACATCTTGACAGGTGCTGACAAAGTGACGTTTTTTTGACGTTTGGAGAAAAAAGGATATTCCTCTTACTTGAACCATGCTATTTTACTTCTAAAAATTATTCACCTGCATTTCTACCTTTGTGGGTAATCTGTGTAGGTACTGTAGGTAGTCAATATTTTCCATTAGAAAAAATGAAAGATTTCTGCATGTAAATCTAAAGTGAATTGTATATATTGCAAAATATGCTAACCCAAGCAATGCTATTTGTGTTTACCTATAACTGTCAAAATAGATTAGTCTTTTATCATCCATTCTATCTAAAACTTGGACAACAACCCTACGTCATGTTTTTTTCTATTTATTTAAATAACTTCAAAAATTAAAAAATCGAAATGTTATTAAGATAAAATGACCACACATATTTGGATTTAGAATATGGCTGTTTGAGAGTTTTGCCCAAACATAAGTTATCTAACCACGTGCCTAGAATTCAACAAATAAATAAAGTGTTTTGTAGGTATTGCAGATTTATTTAATGATCTTTGTACAAAAATATAAATAACTTATAGAGTAAAAAATACAGTGGTTTCAAATGTTTCGCTAAACAAGAAACATTGCGTAAAATGCGTAAAAATATTTTCAATATTTACAGTTTTTTGGTATCATCGCTAAACTTCTAATGATGGTAGTAGTGAGGTTCAGCATAATGGGGCTGAGCATAATGGGATGGAGCAGATACCAAAAGCTTAGCTGGAGCTGGAGCTGGGTGCACAGGATGTCCAGATTTTTCTACAACTGCGTTGAAACCATTGTGGTCATCAGCAGTGTAGTGTACAGTCCTAAGAGTACCGTCGGCCTCAGCAACGGTGTAGGATCCCTTGACTACATCACCATCACGAACTTCGTGTTGGGTTTTGTGGTCACCGGTGTGAGGATCTTGAACTCCATAGTTGTATTCGTATTTTGGATGAGCGTGATAGTCTACATTTTCGTGATCATGACCATGGGAGTATGCTGGAACGGCATATTTAGCTACAACAGGGGCGGCATGTACAACAGGAGCAGCATGTGCGAACACTGGAGCAGAATGAGCTACCAAAGGAGCAGAATGAGCTACCAAAGGAGCACTCACGGAGGAATAGGAAGAAGCATGTCCATGAGAGTAATCTAATACGCCAGCTTTGGCGACGGCTACGAAAGCAGCAACGGCGAAAATCTAAAAAAGAAAAATGTTTTTTTCTACAAACGTGTTAAAATAGCTATTTATACAATAAGTTACGAAATGAGCGTCTTTTAGGCACGCGACGTGAAAATTGTCCAACGAGGCAAAGCCGAGTTGGACAACACGTCGAGTGACTAAAAGACATCGTTTCGTAACATATTGTATACAAGATTTTTTCTACTGGCATTTTATAATAAAAAAACACAATTTTATTTCATGTGAATAAGTCGATTACGCCCAAAATATTTGTTACCTGCTTTTGCTTAACACCTGACACTTTTCATGAGATTTTTTTTTCAAGATTCGATATCAGTAATTTAAATCCCAGAAAGTAGGTAACAACACAAAGTTCTGTTTTGAGTAAACCAAACGTTCAATTCAGTAATTCCATTTTCAATATTCATAATAAATACAAAACAAAATTCAAATATGTGTTTAGTGTGTTTTTTATTTCTGAATAATGAATGACACTTTTAGGCACTAGTGCTTAAAAATTACTTTTACGCACTCAAAAGTCACTTTTACGCATTCAAAAGTCACTTTTACGCACTGAGTGCCTAAAAGTAACTTTCACGCACTCAGTGCTTAAAAGAATGTCGTTTCAAAACTAAAATGACAATCGAAAAGTTGCTTTTATGAAACGTCAGTAGAAAAATGCAATTTTTAACACCCCCTCGAAGCATTAAAAATGTTACTTTATTGCACTAGTGTTAAAAGTCTTTAAGGCACTAGTGTTAAAAATGAAACATCAAAATTTGAAAGCAAACGTCAAAAAAAGTTTGTATTTTTAATTATTTACATTAATATTAATGGTAAAATTTGAACAACTGAGGAAGCTCCATCGGCCGCCTCCTCTATATTTTTCAAGGGATTGATGCAACCCTCTTTTTCTTGTGTATTTTGTTGCATTTTTAGCAAAAAGCTTACTGACCACGATAGACCATACGACAGACTTTCAAGAAACTGACGAGACATTTCATTACCTGTAAAACAAGGTGCTGGTTGTTTGAATTTTTTGACAAATATCAAATTCAATAATTTTACGTAGGAAAGATGCTTCCAATTTATTATTCATTTAAAAATCCAATTTGTCACTGGTTATTGCTTGTTATTGCCGTTTGTAGAAAAAATATTGTATGATATTTGTGTTAAAAGTATTTTTAAGGCACTTATGTGAATTGCAGAATTCGCTTCGCTCATTCTGCAAACTTTGACATGCGTGCCTTAAAAATGTACTTTTAACACTTATATCATAAATAACTATTATATGTGAAGGTTGCTAAATATGTTTCAGTTAGTATTTTGACAAATTGGGTAAATTAAACTTTGCTTTATTTCTGACAAGGATACAGTAAATTCAGAAGTTGAAGGCGAAACGACTCCAATTTTTGCTTGATATTTGATATACTGCTATTGAATATTGATATACATTCAGTACCTACATTAGGTATTAAAAGATTACTTTTAATAACATTTTGATTTTGGAAACACTGTGCTTCTAGCAAGTCATTGACTTTTTTAAGTGGCTCAATGCTGCACAAAACCTAAAAATAAGCTAGACCATCGCAAAGTGTATAGATTTAAATGAAATAAGACTAAATAGAACATTAAAATATTACAAAAACTAAAAAAAAGGGTTGAATCAGTGTCTATGGAAAGCAAAAATGTGGGGTTAATGAAGCCTTTAGATATTTCATTTTTGGACAAAGCTAACAAGGATTTGAGTAGGAAACGATTTTTCAACAAAACACTCTCTATATCATCTAGGCTGGTTATAGATTCATTCTTTTATCTCAACTCTGCTAGTTAACAGAATATCTCAAATCATCTTAACGTGACAGAAACTGACAAAAGAGGAAAAGGACACACGTTCATCGAAGTTTGTTTTCATGCAACACATTCATTAATTGTCGAATATTACGTGTTGTAACCCCTTATTATTAGTTTCTGTTCAAATTAATAGGTCAGCATTGTTGAAGAAAAAACACTGTATCAATCCTTAAAAGGTAGCACTATTCACAACACCCAACATCAATTCTACACCTTTTTCTTAAAAATGAACTGAACGGCAAAATTAAAACTTTACTTACTTTAGAAAACATTGTTTGTTTTCAATGTGAACTACGAATGATAATGTTTGAATATTCGAGATTTATATACTAATATACTTGGTCTATCTACCAACGAATAACCCCACTACAAACAATACCCGTGGTCTAGCCAAACTCTTATTATTTGAAAGTATAAATATGGTGCATCAAGATTGTGGTGAATTTTGACCTTGTATAGATACTTAGCTACAATATAATTTTTTTGTTCTGAGAGCCATTTCACTTTTTCGGTTAATATGGCATGTAGGATGGGATAAAGCAAAGCTAAGCCCAAGAACGAAATTTTTCCAGATTCAATGCTCAAAAATTCTAATTTCATATCTACACATCCTAAATCCTAATCATGAAAATGTGTTTATATTATTTATAATTATTATGTTATTGAAAAATATTTATAATTTAAGGAAAGGAATAAGAAAAAATTGAACTTTGTTGACCTGCTAGAAAGAAGTACTCCGAGGGCAAATACCCCTAACAGCATTGAATTACACTAGGTGATGATTGATTTAATTTTTTGGCAATATAAATTTCAAAATAATCAAAATATTTTCCCAGGAATTGACCAACGTATGCAATATTTTCCAGTAACTTCACAAGAAAAAGGAATAACATATCCTACATTTTTGCCTCATATTTTTTTTTGCCACACTGCAACAATGACCAATTTATCAGGAAAAATTAGATCGTATTAGATTGTGTGAAACGTTAAATTAGTAATTACTAGATGGTTTGGCAGTCTTTTTTATATTATAGAAGAATAATTGTTGTACTAGGTACTCTATTGTACTACCGATTCAATTTTTATGCAAATGCTCGTTATAATTGTTCGTCTTTTGATTTCTGTTACGGATAGTGGAAATTTATTCGGAAAATAAGTGCAATCTGTTGTTTAGTTCATGTCATCCGCGAAACAACTTGACGTGCGTTCTTGAAAACTCTTTATTTAGAGAGATATTTCAAAATAAATTGCACTTCCTTGCTTCCACTTTTTCCCTCTATGAGATGGCGTTGGTAAATTTAAAATCCAACGTTTCAGTCTCTGGCAAAATAAATGAATGAGATGGTTTTGATAGATGATAAAACAGGGCTCAAAAAAATAAGTGAAAAGCTGTGGAATTGAACATTTTTAAGGAAGCGAATCGATTGGATGTAGCCAATCCATACCAATGTACATATGCTCGCCTGAAATAAATTTATAAAAGAGTTACTTCGCAGAATGTTAGTACGCATATCAATCTAAAAAACTAATCCAGGTAATTTTCACTTTTCGGAAAGTAAATTGCACACTTTATCATCCTGTATCTAGATCGGAAACGAAATACTTTAGACCTCATTAGTTAGGTTTTAGCGTGTTTCTATTCCCTAGGGGACAATCTTCACGTGTATAAAGTTTCCAGTGGTCCCCAGACTCAAGCATAAACTTCTCGACAGCACTTCAAGCAGGCACATCTTTAAGGACCATAAAATTCTCTGATTGCCTCAAAAATAGTTGAACATAAATCAATAAAATTTAGTTAAGCAAACTTTGTCAAGGGGCATCTACTGATAATGTCCTATTTATTGGCAATGCACATTCTGCGACATTTTTGGATTCGTTCAATTGGTACAATTCTTTTTCCAGTTTAGGTACCTACTGGCTGCTGAACGTGATAATTTTAATACAGGTAAATCCGTGAAACGAACCAAAATTCCGTTTCTGCGGGAACAATAATTGCTTGGTTGGCTTCTAATAATATTTAGTCAATTATCTGGAAGGTCTTAGTTATTGTCATTTTTATTAGTTATTCAAATTTTCATAGTTTATCATTATATTGAAAAAAAAATGGATATATTATCATCATACGAGTCTGCTTAGGTAAATAACACACTATAAATCAATTCAATAATGAGTTCATCACAGGACGCAATTAACCTGGGGGCTTTACTTGAAATTGATGCAACTTTGCGTACACGCAAATATGATCCAGATGGCGTAAGTTGCGATTGAAAAAGTGCATGACAAATAAGCCGTGCACCAATTTTCAATCACGAATGACTTCATTTGCGTGTTTGCAAAGTTGCATCAATTTCAAATAAAGCCCCCAGGTTGATTATGATGAGGCCAGCGAGCCGCATCAATGGCAGATTTGAGCTAGTGCAAATACCTCTACTTGGGAAAGCCCCTCTGGACTCAAGTCTACCTAGTGCCAGTACTTCTATTTGGGAAAGCTCCTCATGGATAGCCGCATCTTCATCTAGTGCCAGTACCTTCAGTTAGGACACTCTCTCTAGATGACGATACGGGTTACGGGTATTTGGCATAGTAATAGGAATCGGCAGTCCTAAACATTGAACTAAAGAAATACCCTGGAACGGGCGCACTGCTTTATGCTAGTGAGGCAAATTTTGACGTATGCAACCCTGGAATACACAGGTATTTTTGTCTCGTTCACACTCATTGCGATTAATGTAAAAGAAGATCTTCTTATTCTTCCTAACCTCAATGATCGATACACTTCAAACAGCTGTTCTCAATCATTAGCCGTCATATGGCAGAGAGAGATGCAAATCCCTCTTGTTTGTAGGTCCTTTCTGGCACAAACCCTTGCGTAGAACCAATTATGCAGCCGCATTCCAGTGTGTCTGTTTAGTTTATTGGTGCGTAATAGCACTGACGTGCGCCCCTATAAAGACTCTAGTATAGGGATATATCTCAATGAGAGATATGAATCCCATAGGGTTAGGATTTATGTAAGGGCTTATGGGACAAATATAGATATTTTCCGTCAGGAAAATATTTTTTGGGGTATGAAATATATAATAGGGGAGGGCATAATGACATAGACGGGTCTAATGAATTTTTTCTCTTGTAAAAAAATCTGGCAATATTTAAGGTTCCCTAATCGAGCTGAACATTTGTAAACTGGCAACATTGCACTGGCTGTAGTAGAGATTCTCTAGACTACAATTAGAGGAATTTATTGTGCTTTTTGTGGTTCCCGGGTGTTGACATTCAACCGTAAGTAAATTTAGAAATAATATTTACCTAACTTATATACGTTTGTACTGAAGTTTGGGGATATTGCTTTGACCACATAATTAAACGCTGTAAATTCATAATACAATTCTTAGGTTAATTGCCGTTTTCACGTTTTTGTACCCCAATTAAAAATACCAAACACGACGGGCAAAACGACATATCAAAATTTTTTGTTTAGATGGTTTGCTTATATAAAAGAAGGACAAACAGAGGATTCTGGAATGAGGTGGATATGGAGAGAGCTATACAAGCTGTCCGCAATGGCGAAATGGGCTGGTTGAAAGCAAGCAAGTCCTTTAATGTACCCACCGTAATTTTGTGTCATCGAGCTCTTGGAAAAAATAAATTCGCCGTTGATACTGAAAAACGCTTTGGATCTTTTCAGATTGCATTAAATAGAAACCTTGAAGCTGCGATTGTAAATCATATGCTGGACTTAGAATCCCGTTTTTTCGGAATGACGACAAGAGATGTTCGACAACTGGCGTATGAGATGGCCGAAAAAATGAAGATCGAACACCCCTTTAATAAAGAAACTAAAATGGCTGAAAAGGGGTGGCTTCATGGATTTCGTCAACGTAATCCTCAATTATGATTACGACTTCCAGAAGCAACGTCGCTCGCCAGAGCTGAGGCCTTCAATAAGCCACAGGTGAAGATTTTTTTTTCCGAGCTGGAACAAGTCCTTAGAGAGCACAAAATTGATAAAACCATGGTATTTAATATGGATGAATCCGCACTGACCACAGTGCAAGTGCCACCAAAAGTGTTTGCCCAAAAAGGCAAAAAACATGTCGGTGCTGTTACAAGTGCAGAGAGAGGGGTACACACAACCGTTGTTGTCTGCATGAGTGCTGGGGCCGGGGGAATTTATGTACCGCCATCAATAATTTTTTCACGGAATGGTTTATTCCGAACTTATACGATAGAGCACCCATTGGAACATTAAAAATTACAACGAATCAGGTTACATGACGTCAGATCTGTTCATAAAATGGATTAAGCACTTCATAGAACACGTGAGACCCGCTGCGGAAAAAAAAAGTTTTGTTAATTTTGGATGGCCATTCTAGTCATAAAAGTTATGAGGCCTTACAATTGGCTAAACAAAATTCAATCGTTCTTTTGTGGCTTCCTGCACACTGCACGCATCACCTTCGGCCATTAGATGTCGCGTTTTTTGGTCCCCTTCACAAATATTACAACCAAGCTGTAACCCAGTGGTTAAAAGAAAATCCCGGGCGTACAGTTATACCATTTACCAGGTATCCAAACTTTCCAACTATACCTACGAAAAAAACAGCAACACTTTAAATTGCAACTAGTGCGTTTCGTGCCACAGGAATATCGCCTTTCAACCCGGACATCTTTCCTGACGATCTATTTTTACCCAGTTTAACAACGGACGTGGTATAAGCAGTGATTTCTAAAGATGCAAATCCTGTTATGGAACATACAGAAGAAATACAACCATCCGCTGTGGAACCTACAGATCAAGAACAACTAAGTTTTACAGAAGAAGTGAATGATCCAGGGCCTTCGTGCTCTTTCAAGGAAGTAGATATTCAAAATATCTTACAAGAATTGTCACCAGTGCCTCAGAGTAACGTCAGAAAAACCGTCAAACGCAAAACTGTTGCATACCAAGATGTTCTAACCGAAAGCCCATATCTGCAAAGCATTCGTGAGAAAGAAATTGAAAAAACCTAAGAACAAGAAAGAAAGAAAAACAGGAACGTTGTCAAAAGAAAGCTAGTAGAGAATGACTCAGATGAAAATAAAGATGGAAAACAACAGGAGTATTTGAGAAAAAGTAAAAGACATCTTAAAAGGATAAACTAATTGAGGGCGAGGCTAGTGAAGAAGAAGATCCCTACTGTGTTAGTGACGATGAAGATGACTGCCCGTGTCTTTATTTAACGATCAAAATCGAGAGAACCTTGGTTGCAGTGCCAACTTTGCCACAAATGGG